ATAAGTGAGAATGAAAATTAAAAAGAACAAAAAGAAAAATCCAGTAACTTCTGGAGAAGTCATTCCATGTATACATGATTCCTATCATAATAAGAAGTTTTACTTCCTAAATTCTTAATAGAGAGCTGACTTTTTTTTGACATTGAAATGCTGTTAGAATTAGGCCTTGTTCCATGTTGGGCCTTTGATATTATTATATCCTAGTGTACAGGCCAAGACAGAAGCAAACCTTTTGAAGGTAACCATAGACATAGTCCCACTGCTGGAATACTTAACTTTTATTACCTTTACCACTAAAATTAGACAAGTCTGCCAGCCTAGTTCACGAAAGACAGCTCTGAGATTCATTATTTTATGAAGTGAAATACAAGCAATACTTTCAGATGAGCAGCAAAGTATTGCCCACTGCAGATTCCAATAAATGCCTGCTCCTTTCATGTTCAAGGTTCAAAGCGTTGCAGGTCTGGAAAGCTTGATGGAGGACCCTGGGTGAGCCAGATTCAATTAATTAAGACACATCTTAGCTCTTGGCTTGTAAAATACATGCTTAAGCACCCTGCAGAAGATGATAACTTAACCATACAAAGTCAGCAGACAAAGATTTCACTATATTAGCCTGCAACATGGCACAAGGATAATGAGGCATTGTTCTTTCCTCAGAAAACTTCAGTGGGAGTGTGAAATGGACTAGCAAGTTCATTCATAATTTTGGATTTCAACTAGTAAGATTTTTATCATTTGTGAAATCATTTATCTGCAAGAGTATATTGCATGACAAACAACTTGGTCCACAAGACCCCATCCCCAAACAATAATCGGGGGAAAGGGGGAAAAGGACTTATTCTTCACCTTTCCTTTTCAAAAGATGTTAAAGTGTAAGTTTCCATTATTCAGTGGAGAAATCATCCTATTATGATATTCATGCAAGAAAGTCTTCTTGAATTTAATAATAATCTATAATGTGAGTAGATCAAAGAGTAAAAATAAAGATTGTATTTATTTATTTATTTATTTCCAAATGTAATGTGGCTGACAGCAAGTTTTTTAAAAAAAACACAAAAAGTTATAATATTAAAACACAATTATAAACACATCAGAGCATTAAACACAAATTGACTTAAGAGCAATTTTAAAGCAAATTGATTTTAAAAGTTCAGCACTTACCTTTTAAAGGCTTAATAAAAGGTTTTAGCATGATGGTGGAAGACAGATAGAGAGGGGCCAGTCTAACTTCCCTTAGAAGGGAGGTCCAAAGCCTGGGAGCAGCCACCAAAAAGGCCCTAAGCCTTCTTCAGTTTTATCAAAGAACCAGCAGCAGGCCATGATCCAACAACAGCATTTATACAGTGGGCCCTTGGTATCTGCTGGAGTTTGGTTCCATGACTCATTAAATACAGTGGTATAGTAAAATGCTGTCCTTTATATGAAATAGCACAATCAAGCTTTGCTTATTGGAATTAATATTTTTTTAAAATATTTTCAAGCTGTCATGGATAAAAAGTTTGTGTATATGGACGATTGAGTGTACATACGAATACAGATGTGTGAGTGACTGTACCTCTTTAAGGTTCACACAAGGAGGCATCCAATCCTTCTTCACATGAGAGGTTCTTACAGTTAGGTATGGTTCTATGCCCAGCCTCCACTAGCTAAGGTTACTGGTTGCCACATGATTTTGTGGATGTTGTGTTGTCATTCAAGCCACTGCTATACTTCCGTTATCTCACATCTTGAAATCTAGCATGAGTACATTGGTGGAGCTTTTCCCTTCATGACTGTTATATTGGATCTCAGTTTCAGAGCACCGTGAAAAAAGGAGGTGAACGTGCAGTTCAGCAAGTGGAGGAGTTTGGGGCTTCCCTTACCATTTTGTCTCTCCTCTCTCACAGATCTTTCAAACACCACTTTATGTGTGAGTAAGGCAGAGGCATGGCTGCACATGTTGAGTTTGGTCCAGAGAGATTTTTTTAAAGGTGTGGAAGAATATAATTTAATGCCTTACCAACTTACCAAGAAGTTTTTTTGAAAAGCATCTCCCATAATACCTACAGTTCTATGTTTTCTATTGCCACCCCCTTGTAAAAGTGTCTAACCCTATTTAGAACAAAGAGAAGGGGAAACAATAATTTTCTTTGATAAAATGCACTTGTGTGGCTCTGAGGAAACATATTTTGGGGCTGTTAAAGTGGCTGCCCATCTGTTTATACTGTTAAATTGAAAAAAGAAAAGAAAAGAAATAGTGACCTTATATTCCTCCCTGTAAGAAAACAGAAATGCCAGTTCAGACATCGGCAAGGGCTCTGGTTTTTGTCCTATCACAGCTTGGCATTTAGGTTAGTTTGCTTGTCAGTTTTGTATTATGGATTCTGTTTCCACCTTGCCTAGTTAACAACTATCAAACAAAGCTCTCTATGACCCTCCTAGAGAATCACTGATTTTGGGATTGTTTTGCAGTTCAGTTTAGCAAAGTATTAATAAAGTCATTAAAATATTTATATCTTAACCTCTATCTAGGGTACCTTTGGTGGTGGTTCAAATACAATACTAAGAAAGTTATCTTTTAAAAGAAATGTGTTACATTTATGGTATGGTGGGCTATATTTCAGAGGAAGGCAATATCAAAGGACCTATGAGTATCCCTTGCCTAAGAAAGCCATATTAATCTCATCAGAAGTCAACGGAGTCATCAGAAGTCAATGGGGTTTTTGAAGGCACATACAAACATAATAATAATAATAATAATAATAA